TAATGTCTATTCTAAATCCAATGTAGCCTCGCCTACATGAATGCATGTTTGCATTGAAGCTACAAAGCTTGCAGTCAAATCCACATCTTCTATCTTCTATTTCTCGACTAAGTAAACCTATTCCTAAGCACTTTCCATTCAAGGCCGTCACGTATCGTAGTGTTACTTTAATTTGTGTCAATTAATTCGCGATGTTTAATGAATTTCGCTACCTCTATTGTTCACAATAATTCTAACTGTAACTCCGTGTAATTAGTACACGCCATGTTTATATTGAGGGCTGGCGTCTCTTAAGAGAAGTCTGCTTGTTTTCCACTTATCCAATTCACTGTCTGTTACATAACCTCTATGTCTTGACGCGTTTTTACAGGGCTCTTGACCATAACCTTATATTTTTTGATGCCATCTAGTGCCTACCTCATTCTTTTAAACATCTCATCTTAGCTATAACAATACTTGCTCTTCTTTTGTCCGTCCTTAACACGATTTATTTTTTTTCGCTTAGTTTACCTATGATGTTATTTACCTTATTCCTAAACAGCACTTCCAAATGGCTATCAATTAAAGACCAACCAATAACTTAACACCCTTCCTAGTCTCTTCTGAGATACGGTTGGTAAAATGTATGTGTTCGACCAATATTCCTTCCCTACTTTCTTCACTGTTTGGCAACGCACAGTTCAATTAATTTGAGAGAACTTTGTTGGTGGTATGATCCAATATTATTTTGACCGCTTTACCACATCATCACCTACTCTAATTTTCTCTTTAATGTATTCTAACAACGCTTCATCTTGGTTCTTAAACCCTAATTCCTAGGTTCCTTGCGTTTATATCTTTCCAGTGTATAAGCTATACCATATAGTTTATCAGCCGTTATTTGTACATTATAATTATCCTCTTGATTAAGAGTGTCAGACAGCGATTGCCGTAAGCTGTTTTTCCTCCTTGTAAATGCATCTTATTTTGATTGGTTACAAATAAGTCGTGCTGTTTTTGGCAGTACGAAACTTATTGTTTTCACGAATCTTAAGGAAGACCTTAGGGATTTTAGCATATCATAGGCACGTCAAAATGGTGAAAACAGTACAGAAGAATTCGTTGATATAATAAATGGATAGATAAGATTACTAAATTTACTACTGGATTAAAAAATGGATGGTAAGCTGTTATTTATATTTGTCCCGGTGAGTATAAAAGGAGCCGTGGGCGTAGGCATGTTTAGTAAAGCCATAAATGTGAGTCTCCATCCTAACTTAGTTTATTATGATGTAATTGGGGTCATAGTAAGAAATATGAAACCTACAATAATGAGAAACGTCAGTTTGGCTGGAGTAAATAATTGAGGTCGATGAAGTAGAAAGTTGATGAACATTTC